GACATCCTAAACCAACCCTAAATTTGTATTTTGTTATAACTGTATCACTTTTATTCTTAAAATTTTCATATTATGTTAACTTAGGCCCCGTTTGGGGACTTACTTTTTTAATTAATTAGTCAAAAAGTTATTAAATTAGTCAAAAAGTCAACAACTGATTAAGGCCGAAATGTACGTCATTGAGGCCGTTAATTAGAATCTCTTAACTTCACTTGCTGGTCAAACTGTATATTTTATGTGTGTTGAGTGTCAATCAGGTTGTACATCGTCGGAGCATAAAATGAGCAAAAAGACAGAATGTGGGCAGAGTTGACTTTCCCGCACGTGCGTTGACTTTTTCTGCACGTGCGTTGACTTTCTTGCACGTGCGTTGACTTTTTTTGGGACAGTCAAACCGACGTTTTAAACCTGTTTGGACGAGATTGGAAGTATAAAAAGGCAAGTAAAAGGCTGGATTATGGTTCGGAAGTTGTTTTGACCTAAAGAGAAAGGCTAGGGTTTGGAAAAGAGGAGAAACAAAAGCTCCAAGATGTCTCCCATGGTGGTTCTTTCTCCTTCTACCTCCTTCCACTCCTCCATGAGTGGCTAGTCTTCTTTTTCTAGGGTTTTAATGAAACCCTAGCCATGTAATTATTTAGTTTTCTTTTTGATTTTTAATTATGTAAAGGTTTGAACATTTGTATGGTGATTTAGAAGTTTGTTTTATATAATTTTCATTATTCTTTCGAATAGTTAACTTTCTGTGATTGTTAAATGTTATCCATACAATTGTTTTCTTTTCCTTCACATTCAAGGTATGGGACGAACCATACTACGAGGAACGAGTCGTGTCATTACCTTAGTTTAGAGTGAACGGTTCGTATTACTTGAGATGGTTCGTGCTCGTATATTGAATGTGATGATCTTCTTGTTAAATGCTTTGAGCTTGTAGTTGCGAAGCATTAACCCGTTCAAACCATAGCATAATTGATTTCAATTGGAAACCCTAATTATGTGGTTAGTGGCGAATTCTCTACTCTAGGATTTTTTCCTAATTCAGTAAATCCAATTTCATTTATTATTGATAATTTAATTCTTTAGTTTAATTTATTCGTTATTAAATTAGGTTATAAACAACCAATCTTTTTATCAAAATTAATTTAGGAATTTGACAATTAAATTAGTTTAATTTCACAATAGTCCCTGTGGATCGATACCTGGACTTACCATTATTCTGATTGAATTTGGTATAGTTTAGTATTTAATTTTGGTGTGTTCAACGACCCATCAAAGGCCGAGGACTGTAAGAAAGAACTAACTCAAAAGACCAAGGAGGCAGCCAAACTTCTCACTTTGCTTAACAAAGCCGAGGCTCGCATCCAAGGTCTTCTTGATTAGGCCAAGGCTACTGAGTTAGCCTTGAAAACAGCAAAGGGCCGCGCTGAGGCTGCAGAAAATGTTGCCGAGGTTGCTCTGGCCGAGGAAAAAGAGGCCAAAGAGAAAGAGGCCCAGATCCAAACCGAGCTCCAAACAGCACTATCTACAAAGGAAGCCGAAATCAAGGAGGTGAACGAGAAGGCTTCTGTATAGATTTAGGTTTATGATTTGATAGAAATCACATTCCCTAGGGAAATTGAAACAAATTCCCCCTAGATCTTGAAAAACCTTTGCCCCAGTTCTTGTTTAGGGTTTAGCCGAGGTCTTTCAAACCTATACCAACCACTCTCTTCTTTATAGGGGACCATTTCATTGATAGGGCCTTATTAGATTTAGGGGCTAGTGTTAATTTGTTGCCGTACTCTGTGTACGAGGAATTTGGGCTTGGCGAGTTGAAGCCCACTACTGTCACTCTTCAATTGGCTGACCGGTCCCTCAGAGTGCCACGTGGCATGATTGAGGATGTGCTAGTTAATACACCCACTGCATATACATCACCATCATGCATCCAATTGCCCAACACCACTGCTGCTCATTATGAGATTAAGTCCAGCACTATGCAAATGCTCCCATCATTCCATGGACTAACTCATGATGACCCTTATAAGCATTTGAATGAATTTCTGGAAATTTGCTCGACAGTAAGGATCCAGAATTTCACAAATGAGGCCTTAATGTTGCGATTGTTTCCATTCTCGTTAAAGGATAAAGCCAAACATTGGCTAAATTCTTTACCTGCTAATTCAATCACAACTTGGGACCAATTACAGCAACGGTTTTTGGAGAAGTACTTTCCTATAGGTAAAACCAACCAACTTAGGCGAGCCATCACAAACTTTGCTCAAATGGATGGCGAGCAATTCCATGAGACGTGGGAAACACTTAGAGACCTTCTCCAACAGTGTCCTCACCACTAAGTGCCTAATTGGCAACTTGTTCAAACATTTTATTATGGCTTAACTGAGCCGCACCGCCAAATGGTGGATTCGTCCTGTGGTGGGACATTTATGTCTAAAAATGATGCGGAGGCATAGCAATTGTTTGAGAACCTAAGTAATAATTCCCTTCACCATGCATCCGTAGCCCGGCAAGTCCGGCAACCCGTAGTTGGAGCCCCGAAAAGAGGGGGCATTTATGAGGTCAGGCAAAACCTAGAGTTAGCCCAACAAGTAGAGGCACTATCCCGCAAGATAGACCACTTATTAGCTACGGGACATGCCCTTACCCAGCAAGATCAGCCTCAATTCCGTGAGGCATGTGTTATATGGGCGAGCCCTGCTCATGACTTGAGTGAGTGCCCTTCGGCATCACAATTTCCGGAGTTAGTCCAAGAGCATGTGAATGTGGCTCAAGGATTCTCCAACCCGAGTAATGACCCATACTCTAACACATATAATCCGGGATGGAGAAATCACCCTAACCTCTCATGGAGACCTCCTTCACAAGGCACTTCTTATAATCCTCCACCACCAAGGCAGAATTTCAATAATTTTGCCAACCAATCATCCTACCAACCACCGCAGCCTTATCGACCCCCACAACTGTACCGGCAACCACAACCCCCACCTGTTCCTCAGGGCAACTCTGTCTTTGAGACTCAGGTGTTGGAAGTTCTCTTAGAATTTAAGGGGTTAGCACCAATAGTTCACTCCCACACTCACTCTATTGCCAAGATAGAGACCCAATTAGGTCAAATAGCTAACTACATGAATCGGAGAGAGAAGGGAAAATTACCAAGTCAAACTGTAGCCAACCCTAAGGGACAATACGGGGCAGAGAGTTCGGGTGGGAATGGTAAGCAACATGAGAAAATGCAGGCGATGGTTGCTTTGAGAAGTGGTAGGGAGTTAGAGCCTCAGTCGGTTGCGCCAGATGCAACTAGAGTTAAGAAGGGTGACATTGGGGGTACACCTAATGAGAGCAAGGGTGAGGGGGAAACACTTAAGAGGGATAAGTTAGTCCCTAGCACTTCATATGTGCCTAAGGCACCCTTTCCCCAATGCCTCGATACACCGTCCCCTTTTAATAAGAAGGCGACATTTATGGAGGCAATGATGGATGTCTTTAAATAGGTAAAAATCAACCTCCCCCTATTGGAGGCGATTAAGCAAGTACCATCATATGCCAAATTTTTGAAGGACCTTTGTATGCAAAAACGTAAATCTAGGACACATGTGTCCCAAAAGGTCCTACTCACGGAGCAAGTAAGCTCCATCTTGTTGAATGACACACCTCCTAAGCTTAAGGACCCGGGTGCCCCAACCCGGGTGCCCCAACCATTGCATGCATTATAGGGGACCATTTCATTGATAGGGCCTTATTAGATTTAGGGGCTAGTGTCAATTTATTGCCGTACTCTGTGTACGAGGAATTTGGGCTTGGCGAGTTAAAGCCCACTACTGTTACTCTTCAGTTGGCTGACCGGTCCCTCAAAGTGCCACGAATAAAGGAGAAGTAGAATAGGGGAAAAAAAAAATTAAGCTCAAGGCGGATGTGCTAGTTAAGGTTGATAGGTTCTACTTCCCTGTTGACTTTTTGGTGTTAGATATGGAATCGGTAACCAGTTCTAAGAAACAAATCCCGGTGATCTTAGGTCGACCTTTCTTGGCTATGGCTAATGCATGCATCAATTGTTGGACTGGGGTTATGGAAGTTTCATTTGGCAACATGCAAGTGAAACTTAATGTTTTCCAAACACCACAACAACCTCATGAGAGGGAGGAGTGCTTATTAGTGGATGTTGTGGATGAGATTGTGGAGGAGGCTTTGCCCTCCATTCTTGTAGAGGACCGTTTAGAGGCTTGTCTAGGTCATTTTGGGTTTGAAAATTCTGATATTGATGGGTTAGTTAAGGAGGTTTTGAAATTGTTGGATGCGGGTATCATATACCCCATCTCAAATAGCAAGTGGGTGAGTCCCACACAAGTGGTGCCCAAGAAATCGGGCATCGCCGTTGTTGAGAATGACGGAGGAGAGTTAGTCCCCACACGAACCACTACTGGGTGGCGAGGTTGCATTGATTATAGGATACTAAATTCCTTGACTAGGAAGGATCATTTTCCTTTACCCAGGGTTTTGATGGACCCATTTTATTATGATTGATAGATTGATTCCTTATTCTCTTTTCTTTCCCTTCTATGTTATTTTGTTTTTCTTTGTTCTCGTCATGCTTTATTTGCGTCTAGAACACTTTAAATCCTCTAAAGGTGTAATTCCTTTGGTGTTAGCCGTGCCCGAACGGCATCTGACGGTCTGGTATAGCTACCTAACCGTGTTTGTAGTGAGTTCCTAGGAGACCAACTGAGACGGTGGAAACTAGAGTTCAAATGGCAAATTTCCGAGACTAGAGTCTGGTTTAAATACCCAGGGGTGTGGAGATTGCTTCAAAACTACCTCGGCTTGAACTCTGTGTGGCAGCTCCATAGGTTGAGGTAGCTTTATGCGCCTCGATTCTGGATACCGAATCAACCTAGTCTGTCACCTTGTCGGAGAATAGGAAAAGTTACAAACACAGTTAGGGAGAAAAGTAGTACCCGTGGTTTTGGAGATATGGGAGTAACAACCAATGCAAGAAAGAAGGGTATTCAACTTACCCAATCAAGAATATAAAAACAGTCCTCCTTTGGCCTGTGATCAGTGTTACTTTTCCCACTGACAATTTCTAATGCGACAATTCCAAAACTGTAAACATCTGCTTTGTCAGTTAAGTAACCACGCATTGCATATTCAGGAGCCATATATCCACTGCATATCAAAATTATTATTTTCCATATGAATGATATATGGTAAGATTGTGTAAAAATAAAACTGTAACGACAAGAAATATGATAATAATGGTAACGACATAACAACATCAATAACCCATTGATTATGAACCAAAGAACAAGCACTCACTAAGTTCCAGCAATTCTGGTGCTTATGTGAGTATTATCCTCTTCATCAAGTTTGGCCAGACCAAAGTCGGATATCTTAGGGTTGAGATTCTTATCAAGCAGTACATTTGTGGACTTGATGTCTCTGTGGACAATCTTAATTCTTGACTCTCCGTGGAGAAAAGCCAAACCTTTAGCTATACCAATGCAGATCTTGTACCTTGTTGGCCAATCTAAGTTCAATTGGAATTCGTCTGGGCCTTCAAATAACCAGATTAACAAGCACAAAGAATTTCTAGTCAGATAAATTGTGCGTGTTAAAAAAGTGCACGTGTACAGATGTTTTGATATGAAAAGAAGTTGAATAAAGCTTTGAAGTTTACTGAACAAGGCACGGGCAAGGCTATTATTTTCCATGTATTCGTATATTAGCAACAATTCATTTCCTTCAATACAACATCCATACAGCTTTACGAGATGAGGGTGTTGCAGAGCAGAAATCATTCCTATTTCATTCACAAACTCACGATTTCCTTGCTTTGATTTGGAAGAAAGTTTCTTTACAGCAATTACGGTGCCATCTGATAGAAGCCCCTAGAATTTAAGATACAATGTGGGGGCTTTTCACATTAGAAGAATTTTAATGAAAAAAGATGCATTACAATAGTTTGAATGAGATGATAAAACTGGCGACGTAATCCATGTGTAGAATACCTTATAAACATAACCAAAACCACCTTCTCCAATCTTATTAGCAGCATCAAAATTGTTTGTGGCAGCTTTAATTTGCCTCAAGGTAAATGAACCAGTCATCAGATCTAAACCCCTTAGACCTGTGGAAGAAGCCAAGTAAGATAAGAAGAATTTTCGGAAAAATATATATATATTCTTCGTATTTTGAGACGGATTCGTTTAAACACTAAATCCACAGAGAGTTAAATGTCTCTGCCTGGATTGCCAGCAAATAGTAAATCAAGCCATGTCTTGCAGCATGAAGTGTTAAGCAGTCTGATATCTAAATAATATTTGACACAACAAATATTTTTTGTACAAGTTAGAGATGAATGAAGACATTATTATGAGGTTGCATAGCACTCACATGGATAAAGGAGTCTATAAATATATATATATATATTAAATTAGAAAGATGAAAATGACAATGACAATGACAAAAGAATTGCTATTTACTACAATTATAGGGTTTGCAGATACCTTGTTCCATTGTATCTTTGCGTCGTAGGCAACCTCTCCACCAAAGGATACCCAGAAGCATGATTAGAAAAATAACAACTGCAGCCACAATCCCAACCACAGCACCCACAGATATACTATTTCTAGTTTCTGAAGGTGGCACAAAATCTGCATGGATAAAAACAGAAATACCAATGAAAGGATTATTATGAGGCGATCAACACTAAAACGCAACAAATTGACAAGAAACAAATGAATTGATCATTACTAATATTTTAAATTCGGTAGTGTTACATGCACCAATTAATGTATACACTAGTGTACCAACTAGTGTTATGCTATTATTATTAACCCCACTTATTATACAAATTATAAATATCTAAAACCTCTAAAATTATGTCACATCATTTGTTATATACTAATTAGTACATTAATTGGTACATATAGTATTATTATTTTAAATTACAATCACCTTGTTTGGTTTTGATTGATTTCTGAAAATTGATTTTGTTTTAGTGATTTTTTTTAATATTTTAAGTACATTTTTTACTTTTTAGATGCACCTAACCTAAATGTACCTAAAAAGTAAAATATTTATAAAAAAAAAAATTAAAAATAATAAATATACAAGAATATGAAAATATACTAAAATTTTGTATTTTTGATATTTAGTGAATTTTTTATACAAATATTATACTTTTTAAGGGTATTTATATCAAGTATATCTAAAAACTAAAAAAATTGCTTAAAATATTAAAAAATTTTGGTGAAAACCAAAAAAAAAAATGAAAAACAAAAAACTTAATTTTCAAAAAAGAGGATAAAACCAAACAAGCTAAATATTTTTACTTTCTAAATGGAGTTCAAATGTTTTTGGACATTGACCCTTGAGATGTTCAATGCATTTCAAAAGACTTACAAGTTACAAAACCCTATTAGCCTGAATTCTATTCAACATTCAGTTCTATTTTTACTGTTTTAGCAAATTTGAAACACGGTAATACCAATAAATAAATAAATAATTTGAAACAGGGTGGAACCTCTTATTACAATAAACTAAATTGTCTGCTAAAGAAATGCCTTGAAGCCATTTACCCAAACCAAACACTTAAATGTAAATTGTTTGGTTCAAAGTAAGATGACATAAATGAAACAACATGCAAAGGGGTCATAAGCTCTATAAATTTGTAAGTTCCTGTTCCTGCAGAACATCATTTTTGTGCGCCAGCTTCTAAGATATTTCATCTTACAAGAGAAAAAAATGTTCTTTGACAGAGCATCACAACAAAAGAAAACATATCCACTGCATTATAAAAACGAAAAATATCCATTTGTATTATGCTTTACTTAACTAATTCTAAAGGCTAATGTTCCAAAAACAACATAAATATGAACAGTGGCGACTCTAGGAATTTTTATAGATAGAGCCACTTCACAAGTTTGAATTTTTTATTCTTGGTGTTTTATTGTCTTTAGGAATTTTTTTTTCATATTTTAGTCCTTTTTTTTTTTTTTTTAAATGCACCTAATCTAGATATACTTAAAACGTAAAATATTTGTGAAAAAATCTAAGAAAAATTCAGAAACTATATTGAATAATATTTTACTTTTTAAATATATCTAGATTAAGTGAATCTAAAAAGTAAAACAATTTAGTTAAAATATTTAAAAAGTTCACTAAAGATAAAAAAATATGAATGAAAAATATAAAAACTCAAAAAATATTTTTATTAACACTTAGGCCTCGTTTGGCAAGAGGCTATTTTAGCAAATTAGCTTTAATTTTGGTGTGTTCAACGACCCATCAACAACTCATACCAAAAAGTCAAAGATTCTCTTTTTTCTTTACTTTTTGCATATCTTTTTGTAATTAGCCAAAAAGTCATCCCAAACATACAAGTTTTTTTTACTTACCTTTTTAGCCAAATAGTCAAAAAGTTACTAAATTAGCCTGTTCCCAAACAAGGCCTTAGTCTAGTTGATGACGCCTACTTAAAAATCTGATTGGAAATAAGAGATAAAATAATTTATTCACTCTTCTTAAAGTGATTGATGAATTGATTTTCAATTTGAAATAATTTATTTGTCTTTGATTTCTGTATCATTTCTTAATGAAAGTTATTAAATGAATTAAATTGAGACAATTTTAAAAATTCCATGGCAAACTTTATATAATTGAAATTATAAGAATCAAAATGGCACAGAAAATAACTTATATATGGATCACTAATATAATTTGTCCAATATCTATATATGTATATGTATATATATATATATATATATCATATTGTGGGGACACAATTTTTGAATGACAACACGTGGCCGAGGTGTCACCGAAGTGTCAGCCGAGGTGTCACGTGTCCTGATCATGATGCCGAGATTATCTTAGAATGAGTGAAGAGTCCTAGAATGAGAGAAGACTTCAGTTTGGATTAAGATAAAACTCTTAGAGAGTTTATCCCAATCCTACTAGGAGTCCAAGATTAGCAGTAATCCTGAGTCCATTGAAGTTAGGCTTCTATTGGGACTAGGATTGTGTTGGCTATAAAAGGGAGGCACCCCCATGGGTCTAAGGTATGTCTTTTATGCTTTGTCTAGTGAGTTAAGTACTATTGGTTATCTTTGAGTGATATTTTACTGACTTGATCATCGGAGTGCCTCCGGGTGGACGAACCACCGCCGGAATCTCTTCTTTCTGTTGCAGGTTGTTCGGGCTTAATCTATTTTGCCAGTGCTCTCCAGCTAAGTACTAATTTGGTAGTGTGGTCGGGAATTGACACACACAATTTGGCGTCGTCTGTGGGAAAGAAAGAAGAATAGATGGCCAACGACAGACAGAAAGAGAAGGTTGGGGACGACACTCCTAACGGGAGTGGGAAACCTGTAGACCTTGACATTGAAGAAGACAACTACAACAAAGAGACTCACGATAAGAATCATGAAGGAAAGGACGTCGGCCAAGAGAGCGACGTACCAAAGAAAACGGACCGGAGCGGGTATTACAACGAGGACGACCTCCAGGTATGGAAAGAAAGATGCCTACAGAGGGACGATGAGGTAAAGGCCATGGTGAACAAATTGGCGGACCTACAAATAGTGGTCAATTTCATGATGCAGAATAACGTCATGCAGCCACCGTTCCCACTACAAGATATGCTGATTCCAGTGGTAAAGGAGGATGCTCGAAAAGAGGGGCAGAAAACAGTCCCTACAGTCCCCCAGCACACCAGGGCCGAGAAACACTATCACCGGCCTTCAAGGGAGGTCGGGCGAGGAGAGTCAAGAGGGAAGAATCGAGGAGGACGCATCGCACCAAGGAAGCTGACCCCAAAGAACATCGGCATGTTCAAAGGCAGGAGTTGTGCTTCGGCACAACCAATGGAGGGAAGTCCAAAAGGACCCATAATGAAACTAGGAGTAGTATACTGAAAAGGCTAAAGTCAGGAGATAGGTGAGCTCCTAGATGGACCAAAGAAGATCCGGGGGATCACCTATAGAGGAAGCAACAAGATGCCGAGGTAACCTTCCCGGTCAAGCCGAGAATGTCGTTTTCGGTAGAATTTGACAAATTCGAAGCCCCGAAGAGGTTTAGCATGCCGAGATTCCAGATCTACGACGGTAAGTCAGACCCCAACTTTCACGTCAGCTTGTACCTGAACTCGATGGCATTGTACATCGGGAATGAGCCGTTGCTCTGCAAGGTGTTCTCCTCATTCTTCGGAGAAATTGCATCGGACTCGTTTCACAAGTTGCCGAAAGGAATTGTGAAAACCTGGGAAGGCCTGGCCGAGATGTTTGTGGCTAGATTCGTGACAAACAAGCTACAGCCATTGAGGATGGACGCCCTAATGGCCCTGAAGATCGGTGAGGATGAAAGCCTTAGGGCCTATGCCAAAAGGTATTATAAGGTATTCGATCGAATACCAGGATGCAACCAAGAGGTGGCGGTCGTGTCGTTTAAAAACGGCTTGAAGGATGACTGCCTACTTCGAAAATCACTGGCAAAGACATTGCCAAAAAGCATAGAGAAGCTGATAGCCAGGATAGAAAAGTATGCCAGAGCCGAGGATGACACGCCGGGGACAAAGGCGTCCAAACAAGAGAAGAGAAATGGTTTGCCGAAGCGAAGCCGAGATAACACTAGATACGAGAAGACAAGAGCTCAGCCCAAGTGAGCAGATCCCGGATTCCAGATCTCGGATCCCAGATCCCAGAAGACAAGATCTCGGCCTAGATGGTTAAGTCCGAGAAGAGAAGAGCTTGACCTAAGTTAAAGAATTTTTATATAAAGTCCACAAAGGAGTATGTGGAAACCATGCAGGGGGCAGATCCCTTGCCCATAGAGCAATATCGTAGGGATGTTTTTGGCCTTACATGCAAAAGGAAGCTGAAGCCTATGTAAAAAAGCATGAAAAAGCTTTGAAATCCACCTGCAACGTGCGATAAAACAGCAATTCGGCTGGGGGCATACCAACAATAATTTGCTAGGGCTTACAACAAGAAGGTCAGCCCAAGAGAGTTCAAAGTTAGGGACCTCAGCCTGAGAAAGGTTGCCGGCAATGGGGCATAACGGCTGAAGCAATAATAAAGTGCTAGTTTGATTTTTGAAATCTGTGCGATAGGACCGACCAGTCCTATGACGATATTTCTGATTGAAACATGACGAATAACTTAGACTTATTATATAGTAGAAACCTTACTTGCATATAATAAAGTTGAACTAAGTTGGGTTAACCTGGACTTATTATATCGGCAAAATCAGACATAGATTGGAGCTAAGTGCCTTAGTAAAGAGACCAAGGTTAATAACCTCGGTCAGTCTTTGTTCAAATCTTACATCGGCGACAAGGTCAAAGCCACGTGCCTAATGAGAATCCAAGTGGAACTTAAGTCTACACTAAGGGGCAAAGGGCTGAAGAATGATGCTTGGGATTGGTTTAGACACTTGTTGAAATTGAAATTTACAAGTTGAAGTTAAACCGATGTCATGTTTAACACTTATTGAAATTTACAAGTTGAAATTAAACTGAGGTCATGTTTAACACTTGTTAAAATTGAAATTTATAAGTTGAAGTTAAACCGAGGCTGTGTTTAACACTTGTTGAAATTGAAATTTACAAGTTGAATTTAAACCGAGGATGTGTTTAACGCTTGTTGAAATTTAAGTTTACAAGCTGAAGTTAAACCGATGTCGTGTTTAACACTTGTTGAAATTGAAATTTACAAGTTGAAGTTAAACCGAGGATATGTTTAACACTTGTTGAAATTGAAATTTACAAGTTGAAGTTAAACCGAGGTCATATTTAACACTTGTTGAAATTGAAATTTACAAGTTGA